GAATCGAACTTGGGTCGGCCATGTTGGCTGCGTGCAAGGCAAATGCCCTACCGCTGTGCTATCTTATTAAGATTTATTATTTGAGTAAAGATCACTCTAAAAACAAAAGATATTGGTCCGGACCAATACCAGCTAGATTGATAACCATTAGCCAGATGTGGTCAATGACCACTAAAATGTGACTTGTTTTTCTTAAGATGTTCCATTAGTAGGACCATTAGATAGGCTCTTGTAGGGAAACAATTTCTTTAATAGTTTTTAATTCTTGGTTACATGTGAAATGGGATTTTGGATATGTTGGGTTGAATAAAATATATGATAATATTTAAATATGTAAAATTAAAATCATGATCACGATCATCCTGTTGTTCGTCGATTGCCTCAAGCAGGCACCAGTAACGTCTCCTTCATCTTAGCCCTGAGATTTTAAAAAGTGCCATATTCAAGGCTCTTTCTGGATTAGGAGAATGAGACCCATTATTGTTACTGGTTTTTGGCATATTGGGTACACCATGGGACGTTTGCCAGACTCTGCCGTGTGGGCAGTTTACATTTGGTAGCCTGCCAGGTTGTCCAAGGTAAGAATGAGATAATAAGATGTCAAGCAACTGTGAATCCCGGCATTACTATCACATCTGGAATATCCAGGGTTGCAACATTTGCTTTCCGTGCTAACATCATGCAGAGTCGGGGGAGGTGGCATGGCACTTCACAGACAGGCCAACCCCGACAGTACGTGAGAACACAAAACGTAACCACGACAGGACACTACGAACAGAAGAACGTCCTTGAACTACTTCAGACAATGCTTCACTGCGGCCTTCACGCCTCTCCCCACTCACTGATGGGTACTGGGGCAAATCAACTGCTCTCTAAGTGTCTAAAAGCTATTTCAAAAGCACCTTCCTCCTCATTCAGGGAGGCAAGTTTCTTCCCAAATACAACTGTAAGTTTTCAGATCAAGCTGAAAAAACGCATTAAGACTCAATCATAGTGGGGGACCAGAGATAACAAGGCCTGTCAGGTGTTCGCCTCACACGTGGCTGACCCAGACTCGATCCCAAGTAACCCATAAGGTATGCCCAAGCTCACCAGGAGTGATCCCCAAGCACAGCAGGGTGTGGGATCAAGACAAACAAAAACCAAAGGGGAGGAAAAAAAAAACCTCAACTACAGACATCAATTTCCATCTCATTTACATCTGAGGGCCAAAGAGCAGGGCTCTCTGGTAACAAATATTATAAATTAGAGTGTAAATTTATAGGTAAAAAAATAAAACAATTTCCAATGAAGAGTCACACAAGGTTTCTGGTTTCCTGCTGAGACTGCTGAGCTGCAGGGTCACCCCTATGCAGGCCTGTCCTGTAGGGGGGAATTCCTGTGTAACCATCAAGGCCAATTACAGGGGTAGGGGGCACACAACACAATCACCCCTTCACACCCAGCCTCAAATCAAAAACTTTCTTTCAAATATGCAAACTCCAAGGACAGCAACCACCACCACCAACAACCCCCTGTCCGCCGCCACCCGATCACATTCCCACCGATGTCCCCAATGGTCCCCCCAGCCCCCAGCCCTGTATTTACAGTGGCTCTTCCTGACAAAGAAACCTTTGACCTAGGGCTCAACTTGGGTCCTTCCAAATGGCCCAGGCTGGAAGGACTGTGCTGTGTTTGTTTAAAGAGAGGTGCAGAGACTTGCTCAAAGTGGAATCACACCCCAAGAAATCAGCTTTCCAGCCCCAAGATCTTTCTGTTACATACAACGGCACTTCTCTTGCCCAAGTATGAAAGAGAGCCTTCTAGAAACTATCTGGCCGGATTCCAGGGGAGCCTGGCCCTGGCTGGATGTCTTGGTCGGGTCAAGGGGTGGCTGCAGCAAGGCCACAATGCAATTATTAAAATGAAATATAATAGTCATATTTTTTCAAATGCAGTCATTAGAAATTTTAAATTCACACATATGCTTTGAGGGATACTGCTATTGGGTAATGCCATTCTAAAATGCTCTCAGTATATTTAGGGAGACAAACTACAAATATTTAATGAGTGCTCACTCTGTTCAAGGGCTATTTTAGGCAGTTGGGATACATCATCACACAAAACAGGCATGGATCCCAGTTCCTTATAGCACCATATCCAACAGATGAAAATAGACAGCAAAACAAATAACAATAACATATAAGCAATACATCTAATATGTAGAAGAGTTAATTGTTATGGGGAAAAGATCAAGTAGAGCAGAAACAGAGGGCCAGGAGCTATGTGGAATTGCAGTGCAAACTGGAACCACCAAGATAGCATTCATTTAAGGGTGACATGCAAATAAACAGTTAAAATTTGTAAGGGAATTAGCCAGGATGATATTAGAAGGCAGGATATTTCAGGTAGACAGAACAATTAATGTAAAGACCTGGCACTTCTGAGGAAATAGAATAGAAGTGGACGAATAGAGAGGAGTGTTAAAGCAATACAGGAGTTAAGAGTTAAGGTCTGAGAGTTAAAAGGGCAGGATTGAAGATGCACCATGGAAGCAATTGTATTGAAGAAATAATATATTTGTGTACACATATGTTTAAATATATGTACATATATTTTATTTTTGAATAGCAAAAAACAATGTAATCTGAATCACCTTTAAAATTTATCTCTCTGGTTACTCAGTTGACGATAGACCATTATTAGTTAGTTTAGAAGGGGAAAAATGGAAGTTTAAACTAGATAGAAGGGAATTGTGATAATCCAGGTAAAGTTATAAATAAGTGATTACATTAAAAAAATTAAAGAGTAAAACATGGCAAGATTCTGGAAATTGAAATTAGAGTCAACAGTGCCTTTCTGAGTTTGGATATGGAATATGAAAAAAAGACACAGGAGTAAATCACACCAAAGGCTGACATGAGAGTTGTTGTAGGTCAATCAGGCCTAGAATAGGGGAGACAATTAGTTTAATTATTTGAAATAATCTACATAACGGGACTGGAGTGATAGCACAGCAGGTAGGGTGTTTGCCTTGCACAAGGCTGACCTGGAAGACCCGAGTTTCATTCCTCCGCCTTTGACTCCTCCGCCTCTCTCGGAGAGCCTGGCAAGCTACCGAGACTATCTTGCCCACACAGCAAAGCCTGGCAAGCTACCCGTGACATATTCGATATGCCAAACACAGTAACAACAAGTCTCACAATGTTACTGGGCCTGCTCGAGCAAATCGATGAACTATGGGAGGACAATGACAGTGACAGTGAATCTAAATAAGGAGTATCTCAATTTAGATCTTGAAACTGGAGTATTCAGAAAGAGAGATACCTAGAAATTAGACATCTTTCATTCTAAACTGTGGGAATTGAGAGAGTGGAAAGAATCTGCAGTAACTTTCCAGTTTTTAGCCTGAGTAGAACATTCTGATTCTAGGGCATGGAGTGATTCTCCAGTAGCTTCTTAGAAGACTGGGCTGAATTATATCACCAGGTACAATGATGGTATAACCAGGATTCAATGTGTTAAGTAGAAATCACCCTGACCAGGCACACAGCAATTTTATGTTTCCTTCACTGTATACACAAAGACGCAGAATCTGTACAAAGTAATACTTCGGCTGCTGCATGGTGAGAGTATTATTAATGAGTAATGTTAATGTAATATTCTCACATAAATATGTTTGCGAATTCCCATGTGAAAAGTGGGTAGGAAGTAGAACAAGGGTTATTTTATGCAGAATATCTGAGACACACAAGGTTGGTGGAGATGCAAGAGGGAGAAATGAGAGATGTTTTAGAAATATGATGGCACTGCATCCTGGGATTTTATTTTATGCTATTTCTAAAAATTCAGAGACTTGAATAATCATAAATTATTCAGAGAGAGGATGTGATATTTCTACAACAGAAACATTTCCAGAACCTGTATCCGTGTATCCCAATCTCCCCCGATCTATAGCTCCAAGTAGGGCTTTTGAAGCGACACAAAGAGAAAGAGACTGATGCCAAAATTGCCACATAACCATTTGTTAGAATCATTGAGTTTGAACATATTTTACCATGTCTTAAGATTTCCCAAACAAAAGAAGGCAGTATAAACTGCAAGAACTTGTTACTTCACACTATATGACAGAAATCCTTTAGAAGTATTCCATGTATGAATCAGGAAGCTAAAGTGGAGAGAAAGGATGTCAGAAGGACGTTCACTAGAGTGAACTCAAAGGTAAAATTCTTTGTAAATGAGTGAAAGTCTTAGATTTATGCAGGAATATATTATGTCCAGGAATTAAACTAATTTGTGCAAAAGTATAAGGTTTTAGCACCCAAATGAAAAGTCTGTTGTTTAACAGAGCACATACAGATAAAGGCTATCAACAGAAAAGCAACATTTGGAAAAGCTGAGACAGGCAGAAAATATGTTAGACTTGTCCCCAATTATCAAAAGTAGAGTGTACATTGACTGAGATTAACTAGTTTCATTTGGAAGATTAAGTAGAAAAAAAGACAAGAGACAGAGGCCTTATTCTGATGCTAAGTACTAAGAAATATGTAGGAAAATACATGAATTGAGACAGTTTAAAAAAATAAACTGACTGCCAATGGCTCCTTGACAAATAATACAGTAAGAGAAAGTTAAAAAAAGAAAATCACTATAAGCAAGCAACCATTTCATGCAACCACTCATCTCTTGGTTTTGAAAATGAAAAAGAAATGGTTGAAGAGAAAAGGAAAGTAAAGAAAAGCTTAGAGAGCAGATGTAAAGATTATCAGGGGAAGATAGAGGAAATTCTTGGGTTTCCAGATTTCATGAGAGAGAGAGCAGATAAGATTGGAAACTGATAAAGAGAACTCTTGAGAAAGTTGTTTTACTTTTGACACTTTCTAGTTGTACTCTAACTTCTGGAAACCTATACAGTTATAGTCCCAGAACCTGACTGCACCTCTCCAGTTCTCAGGAAGGAGCTACTCCCACTCCTAGATCAGCTCTGAACAGGATTCAATAGAAGGCACCTTGGTACTTGCCTGGGCAGAAGTGCTGTAGAGTTTCAGCAGCCCATTCTCAAGACGCTCCATTTTAGATTTGAGCTCTTTTCCATTTCTCTGCAGCAAGTTCTGGTAGAGTCTGATGAATTCCAGGAATGACTTGGGAGTTGTGTAATTGTAGCGCTGCTCATTGTTCAGATAAGACAGGGATGTTTGATTGACACTCGTGTGGACAAAAGCCATGAACTGGCTGATTGACTGTTTGACTGTGGGCTAAAATCAAAGAACAGAAAATAAAAAGATAAAAGATACAAAGACATAAAAGCTATATCCCAAGGTTGGGGGTAAAGGTCTGTTTTAAACTTTCCTCCAATGCATAGAAAGCTATGCTCTTTTGTTTTTTGGCTTTTTTTTTTTGCCCATATCTAGTAGTGCTCAGGGCTCACTCCTGGTTCTGCACTCAGGGATCTCACCTGGCAGACTTAAGGACCTGTATGGGCTGCCAGAAACTAATGAGGGTAGAAAAATGCAAGGCAAGTGTCCTGCAGGCTGTCCTATCTCACAGGTTCCTGTGTTCTCTCTTTCTAAGTCAGTATTTTAAGCAAAAAATTGTGGACATGGAATTTCTTTTTTTTTTTAAATTTTTTTTATTAGTGAATCACGGTGAGGTACAGCTATAGACTTGCGAACTTCCCTGCTTGCATTTCAGTCATACAATTATCGAGTACCCACCGCTCCACCAATGCCCATTTTCCAGCACCTGCTGTGTATAGGGTCTTGAGAAATCTTTTGCCTTACCTCAATATTTTCTGCCTTTTGCAAAAAGCGGAAGCTGACAGACTCCAATGCCTGCTGAGGCCATTCATGGAACCAGTCAATGGCTGTGCAGTTCACAATGGCTGGAAACTTCCTGCTCCGAACCCTTAACTTATTTCCCACGGGGGAGAAACAGAGAGTCACCTGGCAAGTTAAAAGGGTGTGAAACACCAAGATGTATGAGAGGAGTATTCATAGAGACAGTTTTAGCCTTAGGTTCTTTATTTCCCAGAAAGTTGGAAAGCACATCCAAAAGAGATTAAAAATACCCACTAAATAGCTAGGAAGGCTATCTAGGCAAAAAACAAAGAATTCTGGAACGGCAAGAGGCAAGAAGGCTGAGATTAACTAGTTTCATTTGGAAACTTTCACTTGCTATGAAGCAGGTGCGGAGGGCATTCTTGCAAAGGTGCTCAGACTGCGAAGGCGCTGTGCCCTTACTACCGCTCCTACTATCATGAGGCCAGCTGTGTTCTCAGCAGAGACTCTCAGAATCATCTCTGGTCCTCCTGCTGTATTAGTAAATCCTCTAATACCTTCAGTTGTCTCCGGACACGATCTATAAAGAACTTCCAGCAGTTCTCTCTGCTATCAACCAGACCTTGACTCTTGACTTCATTGCTCAGATTGCTTATGATGGTTTCAACTTCATCATCAGAATAGAGATCTGGGATCTCTCCTGGGAAGAAAGAGGACACAGTTGGCATCTTGAGTGTTTTTTATTCTGTGCAGTATAATTGGACATGAGTGATTATTTTATAGAGGCAAAAGATACATTTTTTAGGCTATACTCCAACACTCTTGATGAAACTGGAAGACACCTTGTATGTGCCAAATCCAGCTCAGAAGAATAACCCTTTAAAGAATGAAATCAGTTACATGGGTCTCTCTTTTATATAGGTTTGCAGCTAGTAATATGAGTGTTTTTTTTTAAAAAAAAAAACAGCATTTTAAAGAGTCTTTTAAAAAACTGTGTAAAAATTTTATTTACCTACTAATATTAGCATAAATTTTGTTCATGAGCAGCTTAATATTATCAGAAAAAATAAAGCAGGTAAAATATCTATGAGACCATAGGTTAAAAAAACTGTGAGAAACAGATATGTTCATTTAAAAGAATGAGATTTCAATTTCTATTAGAGAGAGAGAGAGAACAGGGATAATTCCTTAGAATTTAAGATATGAGGATACTTAAATCAATGGAAATAATAAATAACTCAATAAATGGTATTAGAGAAATTGAAATCTGGAAAAAATGTTAAAATATGTAATATACCATAAAATTATAAAGAAATCAATATTTAACAATAAAAATGACAATGATAGGAAAAGCAAGGCAAATAATTTTATAATATTTACATGTGGAGTGACTTAACACATTTCAAAATTTGAATTCTCCAAAATATATTTTGATGCATGCAAATTGATAAATTTGACTATATAAAAGATTTTAAAAGTTATGGGGTAAAAGCACTATCAGTAAACAATATTAATAAAATCCAAAGAACTAATTAAGAAAATATGTTTTCATATTTAGAGATAGTCTTGGGCTTAAGAGAGAGATGCTGGACTAGAGCTATAGTACAGTGGGTAGGGCGTTTGCCTTGCATACAGTTGACACATGTTTGATCCCCAACATCCCATATGGTCCTCCAGCACCGCAAGGAGTAATTCCTGAGTGAAGAGCAGGAGTAACCCCTGGGCATTAATAGGTGTGACCCAAAAAGCAAAAAAAAAAAAAAAAAGGGCAGAGATGCTGCTTTTCATATGATCAACCCTGGTTTAATACCAAGCACCTCCCATGTACCTATCCTCTCACCCACGCATTGTCAAAAGCGATTCTTGAGCAAAGAGCCAAAAGTAATTCCTGAGCATCACCATGCATGGCACCCCAAACAGAACAAATCAACAAATCAACTCCCAAATAAATAAATGTAAATAAATGAACTCTTCCTCGTACCATGTACAAAACTTAATTCAAAAATCAAATGAAGGCAGATGTAAGACCTGAAGTTACAAAAATTATAGAAGAAAAAAGACAAAATATTCCGTGGTATTACTACACTGATGCCTCCAGGATATGACTCTCTTGGCAAGGAAAAGAAAAGCAGTATTATATCTAAATAAAAATATTTTGCACACCGAAAAAAAACAAATCAATGGAATAAAAAGATACCTGGCCTCTTCCTTTTTGTCCCCCAAGCTGAGCTGGTCTCTTCTCCCCCCCCAGGTCAGTTTATCCTCCGCTTCTCAAACCCGGGACTTGGATTTCATCCTGCAAGCCCCACCAGGCGTCCTCTCGGACATTGGTAAACAAAGCAGCTCTGAGCTTCTCTGCTTCTTACTTTTCATCCCCCAAGATGAGCTGGTCTTCTCTCCCACCCAGTATTTACTAACCCCACACCCACACCAGGTACCCGTGGGGGTGTAGCTGCTTTGGAAGGGGGTGTGGCTTCTGCGAAGTGGGCGTGGCCTAACTCTTGGCAGGCCAACTCTCACGTGGTTGCAGGTAGTTTACTCACACCAAGAAATCTAGTCCCTTCACCTACATACCAGCATGAAGAAATAACGCAAATCCCCACCATAAGGAGAGGACAATGAAGAGTCCAGAAACCTCAGTAGGTGCTATTCACCTAAGGGACCTCTCTGACAAAGAATTCAGATATGAAGTCATGAAGATGTTCAATCAACTCAATGAAACAGTCAGACAGATATCCAGTAAATTGAAAGAGGACATGAAAGAAACAATGGATCGCATAATTGAGAAAATACAGAAAGAAATGAGAGCAGAAATCGGAAAGCTACGCACAGAAATGTCACAAATCAAAGATTTCAGAGATGAAATAAAAAACTCAGTCTGTGCCCTCAAAAATAGAATGACCACAGCTGAGGAAAGAATCAGTGAGCTGGAAGATCAGCTGCATCAAGCCAACAGGCAACAACAAACAGTGGCAAGGGACCTCAAAATAACTCTACAGAGAATCAGAGTCCTAGGAGGCAATTCCAAGAGAAACAACATTAGAATCATTGGACTACCAGACGCTCAGGGAAACAATCCCAATGAAAAAGCCATGGTTAAACAAATCATCGCTGAAAAATTCCCAGAGCTCCACAATGTAACCATTCATATTCAAGGAGCCCGAATGGTGCCAGCTAAAAGAGATCCTAACAAAAACACTCCAAGATACATCATACTTAGAATGATTGATGCTGCAGATAGAGATACAATACTGCAAGCATCAAGGTCAAAGAAGGAAATCACATAAAAGGAGCACCCCTTAGATTCACAGCAGATCTATCAGAGGAAACCCTCCAAACCCGAAGGCAGTGGCGAGATATACTGAAAAAACTCACTGAAATGAATGCTTCACCAAGGATACTCTATCTGGCTAAACTCCGGCAAAATGGATACAGAGACAGAACCCAACATTCTGCTGCCTACAAGAAACTCACCTCAACACTCAGAGCAAACACAGTCTCAAAGTCAAAGGATGAAAACAATCCTGCAAGCAAACAGCTCCTTCAAAAAAGCGGGGGTGGCCATACTAGTATCCGAAAACATTAATTTCATGTTGAAAAAGATTAGAAGGGACAGCGAAGGCTATTTTCTCTTCATCAAGGGATACATACAACAGGAAGAAATCACACTCTTAAATGTATACGCACCTAATGAGGGAACAGCTCAATATTTAAAACAACTGCTAACAGATTTTAAGGAGGTCATTGCTAGCAACACAATAGTAGTTGGAGACTTCAACATCGCCTTATCACCTCTGGATAGACCTACAAGAACAAAATTCAGTAAGGAATCATTGGCTTTGAAAGAAGAAATAGAAGAGAAAGGGCTTATAGACCTATACAGGACTTTATACCCCCAAAAGAAAGAATACACATGCTTCTCCAGTGCGCATGGAACATTTTCCAAAATAGACCATGTGCTAGGCCACAAAACATACCTCAACAGAACCAGGAAGATAGAAATAGTATCAACCGTCTTTTCAGACCACAATGCACTGAGGATAGATGTGAATCACGCACAGACACGGAGAACCAAATCAAACACCTGGAAATTAAACAATTGAGTGCTGAACAACGAGTGGGTCAGGAAGGAAGTCAAGGACGAAATCAAAAGATACCTGGAAACAAATGAGAATGAAGACACGAGCTACCAGAACCTATGGGATGCAGCGGAAGCCGTATTAAGGGGAAAATTTATAGCTCTGCAAGCATATCTTAGAAGAAAGGATGCATGTAAACAACTTGACCTCACAGCTCAAGACCTTAGAAAAGGATCAACAGAAAGAGCCAAAATCAGGCAGAAGGAAAGAGATCATAAAACTTAGAGCAGAAATCAATGACATGGAAACCAAAGAAACAATCCGAAAGATCAATGAAACCAAGAGCTGGTTCTTCGAGAAAATAAACAAGATAGGTAAATCACTAGCAACACTCAAAAAGAAACAGAGAGAGAGAACCCTAATAAACCGAATCATAAATGAGAAGGGGGATATCACAACAGAAACCAAAGAAATCCAAAAGACCATCAGAGACTACTTTGAAAGTCTGTATGCCAGGAAACAAGAGAAACTAGAAGAAATGGATAAATTCCTAGACTTCTGTAATCTCCCAAAGCTGAATCAAGAAGATCTAGAGTATCTGAATAGACCTTTTAACATCAAGGAAATTGAAACTGTAATCAAAAGTCTTCCCCAAAACAAAAGCCCAGGTCCAGATGGATTCACTAGCGAATTTTTCCAAACATTTAAAGAGGACCTACTGCCAGTCCTTCTCAAGCTTTTCCAGAAAACTGAAAAATGGAACCTCTCCCAAACAGTTTCTATGAAGCCCATAACTCTCTAATACCAAAAGGAAACAAAGACACCACAAAAAAGAAAACTACAGGCCGATATCCCTGATGAATGAACACGGATGCGAAGATTCTCAACAAAATACTAGCAAATAGAATTCAAATACTCATCAAAAAGATCATACACCATGAACAAGTAAGATTCATCTTGGGGATACAAGGATGGTTTAACAGTAGGAAATCAATCAACATAATCCATCATATCAACAAAAGAAAAGATAAAAATCATATGATCCTATCAATAGATGCAGAGAAAGCATTTGACGAGATCCAGGACCCATTTATGATGAAAACTTTCGCCACAATGGGGATAGAAGGGACTTTCCTCAATATAGTTAAAGCCATCTACCACAAGCCTACAGCAAGCATCATCCTCAATGGGGAAAAACTGAGAGTCTTCCCTCTAAGATTAGGGACAAGACAAGGATGTCCACTCCACTGCTGTTCGATATAGCACTGCAAGTACTTGCAATACTGGTTAGGCAAGAAAAAGATATTCAGGGAATTCAGGTAAGAAAGGAAAAAATCAAGCTCTCACTATTTGCAGACGATATGATACTATAATTAGAGAACCCTACCAAGAAGCTCATAGAAACAATAGACTTGTATAGTAAAGTTGCAGGCTATAAAAATCAATACCCAAAACTCCATGGCTTTCCTATACTCACATAGTGAGAGAGAAATAAGTGACATGAAAAAAAATCACGATTACAATTGTGCCCCAGAAAATCAAGTACCTAGGAATCAGCTTACTAAGGAAGTAAAGGACCTAAACAAAGAAAACCACAAAACGCAACATCAGGAAATAAAAA